CAAGAGACCGGTGAGCGGGGCCCCCGACGGCTGCCGCATGGGGGCAGCCTCAGGTGATCTCTGGCGGGGTCCTGCTTAGCCTTCACCCGCCTGGCGCATTAGCACACGTGACACTGAGCAGGCTGGCCTCTTCCCGCTTCATCCCTCGGTGAGACTGCAGGGGCCGGCTGCAGCTGGTGGCTCCGGGAGGGCACTCTGACTTCCCCTATGTCCCCAGCTTGACTTCCCACGCGTCACTTAGATTCGCACCTCTCTCCTTGCTGTAGTGCTCATAAAATACTCTTTATTGATTGTATCTTTTGTTGCCCCCTCTGGGGTATAGCTCCAGACGGGGCACAGGGGTGGGCCTGGGGAAGTGAGCGCGGTGGGGCAGGAGTCCTAAGGCTGGATGCAAAGTCCTCCTGCTGTGAAAGACCTTCCCTCTCACTTCCCAGGTGCCGACTATGAAGTGAAGGACAGCCAGCAGACTAACAGCAGGGGCATACCCGCGTGTGTTCTTACCCGCACAGGCACATCCCGGAAAAAACACCTGAAACCGTGGGTTTGGAGAGCTGGTGACGTCTAAACGGGAGGGCAGGGGCCCTAGGCTACTTACTCGGAGAGGATTCCGTCAGGAAGAGGAGCAGCCCTTAGGGGACAGGAGGGGAGGAGGACCTTGTAACCACGTCTGGGTGGCGTGGCAGCCACTCCTCCACCCTGCTGGGAGCCTTCTTCTTGAGTGGGTGAAGTGGGGGTGCGGCTGAGGGGGCGGGGTGGCAATCCAGTTCCCTTTGGACGAGCTGTCTTTAAGCAGGCTAGGAGAGTTCAAAAAAGCCTCTCCCCCATTGGCTGTTTTCAAAGTGACCTGGGCTCAGAATAACCACTGCACCCCGGGGCGTCTGGGTCAGCAGGTTCTGCTCCCCTCACCGCCTTTCGCTTTTTGTTATTCGTTCATCATGAACGTTTTTGCCTTTGTTTTGAATTTTAAAAATACTGTGTTACTGCACACTTGGACGACCGACTTCAGAAGCCCTTGGCTCTGCCGGGCGGGCGTCCGGGCCTCCTAGCGGGCCGCAGAGCCGACGCCGTTCTCGCTCACCGTGCAGTGCGGGTACTCTCGCTCTCCAAACCCGCAGGGAAACAGAAACCTCTAAGAACTGCGCTCGGTCTCCTCCGGACTCCAGCTCCGGACTCCAGGCACGCAGGCACGACAGGACGTCCGAGGCAAACACCCAGAGAGGTCAGATCCCAGGTTCCCCTGCCGGCCCAGCCGGTACGGTGCAAACCTAACTATCCTTCCTCTTCCTGGGCCCCCTCCACGCTCCCCAAAATCCCTTCCAGGGTGCGGGGCTGGCGCGAGAGCTCCTAGAAAGTCGGCCCGGGACACCTGCGGCGGGAGGGCCAGGGCGGAGGACCAGGAGAGCGCGCAGGGAGGAGAGGCGTGGCGCGGCGGGGGCCGGAGGCACGGCGAGGGCCCGGGCTGGGAGTGCAGCGGGCCACGCGGGAGTGCGGGACGGGACGGAGGAGGAGGGAGCGGGGTGCCGGGTGGCGTAGTGGCCCGGCGGTCTCGGTCCCGAGCCGGGTGGAGTCGCCGGTGTCCGCGCGTGTCCCTCCCGCGGTGCGCACGCCCCTGCCCCTACTCGAGGCTCCGCCGCGGCGGACATCTGGGCGGGGCCCCAACTCGGGCGCGGCCGGGCGGTGCGGAGGGAGGTGGTGCGGGTGGCGCTCCGCCCCGCGCCCGCAGGTGGCAGTCCGCCCCGGTGACTGTCCCGTCCTCGGGCGGCAGGCGGGCCATGGTGGACGTGCTGGGCGGGCGGCGCCTGGTGACCCGCGAGGGCGCCCCGGTGGAGGCCGAGGCGGTGCTGCAGAACAAGGTGGTGGCGCTGTACTTCGCGGCCGGCCGGTGCGCGCTGAGCCGCGACTTCACGCCGCTGCTCCGCGACGTCTACGCGGCGCTGGTGGGCGAGGCCCGGCGCCCCGCGCCCTTCGAGGTGGTCTTCGTGTCGACGGACGGGAGCGCGCGGGAGATGCTGGACTTCATGCGCGAGCTGCACGGGCCCTGGCTGGCGCTGCCCTTCCACGACCCCTACCGGCAGTGAGTGGGGCGCCCCAGGTCTCCCCCGCCCTGCCCCGCTCTTTCAGACCCTGGCTCCCTCCCACCCTTCCCACTCAGGTCTCGAGTGGGCCTCTCCATTTGTGCCCTCCTCTCTGCGGCAGCTCGAAGGGCGCCGACCCGGATCGCAGTCCGGAGCAGCCGCGTCCTCGGGGAACGTGCTGTGCGCACCGGCCCGCCCAGGCGGCTGCCCCGCGGGACCGGCCCCGGGGATCTGCGTTTCTAAGGAACTCAGCCCGTGCTGGTGTCGCGGGCCCGGGCAGCCCCGAGGGCCACTCAGCGCGGAGTCCTCGTCCTGGCTAAGGCGCCAAGGCGCTGGGAGCGGGCGGTGCAGACGGCTGGGGTGTGCTGGGAGGAAGGGGGTCCGGGGGCTGGAGGACCACGTGCTGGCCGCCTCTGCCGCTGAGTTTATGCGGGCGGTGGTGGAATTCCCTAAGTAGGAAGGCGTCAATGTCACCACCGCAAACGTAGGAAGAATGAAGCTGGGCAGTTGTGGGAGGTGACAAAACCCTGCTCTCCGCAGGGGACTTGACCCTGGCCTCGCTTTGGTGAACAGGGCATGCTGGCGGACTTGGCCCTGGATTGGAGTTGGGAGTTTGTGTGAACTTGAGCTTGTGCTTAGCCCTACTGTGTAGTGGTGGTGGGCCCAAGGAGGAGCGGTGGGAGGGGGAGGTGGTGGGCCCCAGGAGGAGTGGTGGGTCCCAGGAGGAGCGGTGGGAGGATATGCCTGGCCTCCTGGAGGAGGGCAGGGGCGGTGATGGCGCGCGTGGCCCTGGGTCTCCTGTGGTGGAAGGGGCAGACTCAGGTTGGAATCCTGCGCATGGAGGGGCGTTAGGAGGTGCCCATGTGAGTTTCCGGCTTGCTTTACAGAAGCTGCCCTCACAGTGCCTGGGATTATCCTTCCGCTGTGGCATCGCTTCCTGCACTAAGTAGGGTGGGAGGGCATTCCTCCTGGAAAATGAGTGGAAGGTAACTTTGGACAGGTCCACAGAGAAGCAGCGCCCCGGAAGAAGTCCGAGAGTCGTCCCAGACACTGCTGGGGGTGACTCCCAGCCAGGCCGAGGCCCCTGCAGGCAACCACTCAGCCTTTGAGGGGCTCACCTGCTTCCTGGAGGCCTCACCCCACCAGCCCTACGGGAGTCCCACTGATGAGCAATCCATGGGGGGTGGCTGACTGCAAAAATACTCATTATTGAATTGCTTCTGATGTGTGTATATAATACTTGGACTTCCTGGGCGCTGAAGTTACACGCAGCCACGGAAAAGATCCACCCGGTTCTGAGTGAGGTAGCACATTAGCAGTTAGGAAGGAGCTCAGGCCTTGGCCTGCGCGGTTTACCCACGGGTGCCCATTGGCGGTTACTGCTGGGCATAATGATTGTGAGTGTGGTTGGTGCCGCAGGCCAGGGAGAATTCACACGCCCGGAGAGAACCAGAGGAAAGGGTTCCTCACTTTCCAAGAGAGGAAAGGGGCCAGGTGCCAAGAGCTCCATCAGCCCCAAAGGTGGAGGGTGGGAGCTTTTATTTATTTTTAATTTTTAATTTTTTGCTAATTGTACTTTATTCTTTATTTCTTTTTATTTTTACATTGAATCACTATAGATCTTTACAGCGTACAAGATGAATTTTCCCACCATGAATGCACTACATATTAAATGTCCGAAGACATTACCAAACACATTATCCTTAGCAGATAATTTTACATTTTTGTGTCCATTAAATTTTTTAAAAATCGATTTTAAAAAGTAATAATTTAATTGTACTCATCATCATTATTATTTTGAAATTTGCTACAGGGCATGCATGCTCAGGGGAGAGAGTGAGAGTGAAAGCTAGCTGCCAGGTCCAGGACTCAAACCATGATTGGCCATGTGGGAGTGCAGTGCCTCAACCACTGCCTCTGGCTGGCCCCCATTCAATGACTTTTTTGGGTTTTAAGGGCAAGGATTTTATGGCTGGATAATTAGGATGATCCTAGGAGAGGGTGCCTGTTGGTCCTTTACGATCTCTGGGCCATTCCGTTGTCATCTCTGGTCGTCACGTCCGAACATCTGGATCCGCCATGTACTTGGTTGGCTGTTGATTTGGTATCATTGAGTGACAGATGTCTTAATCTTTTTTTTTTTTTCTTATTTTTTTTGGAGAGGTTTTTGCTATAGGGCATGCGCGTTCGCCAGACAGAGAGAGATAGAGAGACAGAAAGCGAGAAATCTCCCCCCAGGGGGGATGGCCCCGTCGCAATCCCTTCTCCTCCATTCTCCTCTCGGGATCTTGGGCATGCACGCACACGCACCCGGCGTGAGTTTAAGCCACTGGGTCGGGGATGCGAACTGTGGTCGACTACATGGGAGTCCAGTGACAGAGCCATTATGCTAACTGCTGGTCCCCAGACGTCTTAATCTTCATGTCTAAGGTTAGACATGTAGAAAAAGAAAAGTCAGCCGTCTGTGATGGGGTCAAGGAGGGGCCAGCTAACTCAGGAAGAAAGAAAAAAATGCCTGACCCCGGGGGAGTTTGGGACATGCCCTTCCCATACTTTCCACAGCGTACAATGCCTGAGCGCCTGGAGCTTGGCTGTTCCGCGTTGTCAGGGTTGGCCCCGTATGTACAGGGGCTCCTAGCAGTTGGCTGGTTGTGCAAGAGACTACTGCCCATTTTACAGACATGACATTGAGGCAGTCCGGCTCTCCTGGCCGCCTCCTCTGTGAGGGGTGGAGGGGCCTCAGCTTCCAGCAATACAGACTTGCTGGGGTGGGGGAGCCTCCCTTTTGGGACCTGCTGGAAGTGGTCCGTTGTCTCCAGATCACATACAGTTTAGAGCCAGCCGGAGGGAGGGGAGCAGCCCCGAGCAGGGGGCTGGCCGAGGGCACTGGCCACCTCTTTCTGGTCTCTGGTCTTCATCCCTTTGGGATTTTTCTTTGTATAAACTTTGCTATTTGTCTCCACCCCTTTCCAGACAGCCTTTGCCACCTGTAAGCGAGGCAGTGGGATATTCTGTGGGAATTACTGGAGCTATGCCCTAAATTCTGTTTACTCAATTCAGGATTCATGGAGTCAAGTCAGAGCATAATGGAAACAGCCCCCACTGAGAATCGCAAACGTGCAAGGCCTGTGGGAGGCACATTGGGAAGTGGTGAATGTGTGCAGGACACGGCTCCATGGCGGTGCCGTGGGGGAGCGGGCGGCACGGTGGCGTGGGAGCTCTGCCTGGCAGGCGCATGGCGCCCTCGCTCAGTGGCCTCAGCTTGGCATCCACTGTCCACTGGGCTGCGGTGAACAGCCCTAACTGAAGGAGGAGGAGAAGGACGTGGTGCTGTGGTGAGACGCGGTGCTCTATGAGGCTGAATCGCTCAGGACGGTTCCGGGTTCATGCCCAGAGACCTCTCAGACTACACCGGGCATGTGCGTGCCTGTGATCTGGGTGGGCCAAGACGGGGAGTGGGTCATTGTCAAGGCCCTGTTGGTGGTGCCCCCCACCCCCTTGCTCATCGAAGAAATAAACTTTATAAAAAGAGGGCCGGCAGATGGGCAACCTCATGGCCCAAACCTGGTCACTTGAAAATCACACCGGGCGCGTGTGCGTGCGTGCTCAAGATCCCAGGAGGAGAATGGAGGAGAAGGGACTGCGGCATGGCCATCCCCCAGGGTGGTGATTTCTCTTTTTCACTCTCACTGTCTCTCTCTGGTGAGCACATACGCCCTAAGGCAAAAAACCTTTCTTTAAAAACAAGTTGCTGAAGAATTTCTGAAGAAGTCACCATGCAGTGTCCTTGGGGTTATTTGTGGCGTGGCCGCAGGGAGGCGGTGGGGTGCCTAGAGCCCACACCCCACCCTCAAAGTTGCACAGCTCTCAGCTTTCCAGGGTGTCCCCCACACGACACATGGCAAGTGCCAACTTCTGCCCCAAAAGGCACCTGTCTGGATGTCCCTGAAGCTAGAGACTTGGCTGTGAGTTCCCTGCCAGGTGCTGAGCGAGGGGGCTGAGCGGAGGGGCTAGCCTCCCCTCGCCTCAACAGGGATAGCAGGGATGATACTGAAGCTACCTGCAGGGCTTTTGTTTGTTTGTTTTTCAGGATGAGATTCTCCTCTGCCCCACTTGTCTTTCTTTTTTTAAAATAAATTAAAAAAATGTAGACCAGGTCTCACCGTGTTGCCCACACCAGCCTCAAACTTTTGCTCCTTCTACCTGGGCCTCCCGAGTCACTGGGATCACAGACACGTGCCACCGTGCCCAGCCATCACGTTGGACCTGGAATCCAACCTGGGCCTGCCCTGTGGCTGCAGCCTGCAGGGCACTATATCTTAGCAGCACGCTCACTGGGGCCCCTCCTCCACATTCTTCTGAGTTTCTGGGTAGGAGTCCTTGTCCAAGAGAGAAGTAGCGTGTTCTAAATTCACGAGCAGGAATCTCTGTCGCATGCAGCCATTCCCAGGAGACACGGTGTGTGGTGATATGAGGTGACTTTATAGTGACCTTCTCATGCCAGCAGCGCTGGTCCTCTGGAATATCAGCAGACCCCAGAAAGGACTGGAGGGATCCCTCCTCCTCCTCCCTGGCCATGGGCAGGTGTTGGAGAACCTAGTTTCCAGGTGGACGAGGTTAGATTTGATAGGGAAAACACACACGCACACACACACACACACACATGCACAAAACAAAAACAAACAAAACACAAAACCTGGCCAGGCTCCCTGTGGGGTGGAGAGGGCTGGGTGGGGAGAGGTGCTGACTCGGTGGGAGCAGCAGAGTGCACGCCGGGCATCTCCGCTGCCTTTCCACCTGGTCTCTCTCTAGGCCTGCGTTCCAGCTGCCTCCTGGCCCTCCAAACTCGACACATCCACCGAATCCACTGATCGGGCGGCCCAGGCCCTCCTCTGCCATCCTCATTGCTGTTTTCCTTCATCTGGGTGCTGGGCCGGTTGAATATTTCCCTACCTGCTCTCCCAGGCCTCGGTGTCCCCATCTGATGGGTTCATTCAGACAGACCTGGGCTGGCAATGCCTTGCTCCCAGTCTCCCCACAGCGTGGTGCCAGACGTGGTCAGTGCTTGGCATCCCTGGGAAGCACGGCTGGTGGGTGGTTGGAACAGCAGGGCAAAGCTGGTCAGCAGTCTGCAGCTGGCGGAGGTGGCATCTGAAGTTGCCATGGTAACCTGGAGCAGTTACCTCCAGGCAAGGAGGTGGCTGGGTTAGGTAAAGGGAGGGGCTGACCTTGAAGAGGAGAAGCCCGGGCCCTTGATTTTCTTGGACTGGATCGTGAAGATGACATTGGCTCTCCTCGAAAGCACGCTCTGTGCTCTGTGGACACAGCTTAGTGGCCAGAGGGAACCGAGCTATTTCAGGGGAGGAGGTGGCTACTTGCTCTCCCGTGTGGCTCTAAGGTTACATTTGTCCCCAGGCAGAGGCTGCTAAGGTGGGGACTGAAGGCTGGCAGTTGGTGTCCCCTGATGATAATCTGGATAATCTGGAGCAACTAATGACCCCCCAAGCCTCTGTGTTCCTGAGAACCCAGTTTACCCTGCATCCCTCACCTGTGTCGGAGTACCATCTAATGTTGGAACTGACCCAAACAACAGCAACTCAAAGAGCTTAAACAACGGAGACTTTAAGCTGGTTTAAATGAAACGCCCTGCAGTCAGGGGCTCATCTTGAGGAGGGATGGAGGCCACTGAGGACACAGGCTTGGGTTTTGCTGTTTGTTCTGCCTTCTTCACAATGGGCAGTGACTCTCTGGGAAATCCAGTCTGTCCTCATGGTGTCAGAATTGCTGCTGTGTCTCAGACTGAACATCCTCACACCTTTCTCTTCACCATGGAGCCTCACTGATTCTGAGTCTGCCAAATACGCATTCCTGTATCAGTGTAAACAATTGAGCGGTTGTCCAAGCTGGAATTAGAAGGTTTTCCCCACCCAGTAAGAATGCTTCTATTCTGAAACATGGGCACTGTCCTGCCCCATCTTGCTGCCCGCAGTACAGGTGCTGAAGTAGCTACTTTTCCAAAACTGCCAAAGAGCTTAAATTAGGCTGCTGGCCATTTATGTAAGGAGCTACCTGGGTTGTTTCTACTGTATTTTCTCCATATTTTTGTCATACGCCTTCAGAAAAACGCTAACTTCGTAGGCTTATCACATTTCAGGTACTGTGCAGGGTTCCTTACACACCAGTGGGCTTCTCTGCTGTGTCGTCATGCCCACTACCTGATTCTCAGACCTGGGCAGGCGCTCGCAGCTGAGATCCCCGTCTCGGTGGCTGTGTTTGTGAAGGACCCGTGTCTCCTAAACCTGCAGTCTGACATGACTTTGAGTCTGCCGTGCCCTTGTGGCTTTGGTCTGTCAGCTCAGGGAATGCAAGTTCAGCAGAGTGGGCTCTGCGCGTCTTTTTCACTGTCTGATACATTTTTAAAATGTATTTATTTGTTCCATGAGTGAGAAGGACAGTGTGTGAGAGAGGTAACAACACCCCTAATCCTGAAACTGATGCTCCCCAGCTTCAGACGGCCCTGGATCATGGGTACATGTGTGTGCATGTACTCAGGTTCCTTTATGAGAACCCAAAAACTTCCCATGTGGGTGAGCCTTGCAGAATGCCATTTTTTAGAAAAAGGTCTCCCTTTTTTCTTTCTTGCAATGGAGCATGTACACTTGCCAGAGAGGGAGAGAGAGAGCACCCCCCAGTGGGGCGTGATCACACTGGAATTCCTTCTCCTTCATTTCTCCACTCTGCCAGGATCTGGGGCATTCGCGTACAGATGCCTGGTGTGTTTCTTCAGCTGCAGGGCTCAGGAGTTGAACTGTGGTTGGCCATGTGGGATCTGGCTCCCTTAACTACTAGGTCTTGAGTGTCGCCTTAGTTTTTAAGCTTATTCTTAAAAATGGAATTTTAGGACCAGCAGTTAGCGTAATGGCTATGTTGCTGGACTCCCACGTAGTCGACCGTGGTTCGCGTCCCAGATCTGGTGGCTTAAAACTCACGCCGGGCGTGTGTGCGTGTGTGCCCAAGATCCTGAGAGGAAAATGGAGAAGGGATTGCGGTGTAACCCTCCCCTCTGGGGGGTGATTTCTCGCTTTCTGTCTCTCTGTCTCTCTCTGTCTGTCTGGTGAGCGCGTGTGCCCTAAAGCAAAAACCTCTTCAAAAAAAAAAAAAGATTTTTAGGGACCAGCAGTTGGTGTAATGGCTTCATCACTGGACTCTCATGTAGTCGACCGTGGTTCAAATCCCAGGCCCAGTGGTTTAAACTCATACTGGATGTATGTGCGTGCGTGCCCAAGATCCGAGAGGAGAATGAAAGAGAAGGGATTGTGGCATGGCCATCTCACCTGGGGGGTGATTTCTCGCTTTCTTTCTGTCTGTCTCTCCTTTCTGGTGAGCACACACACCCTATAGCAAAAACCTCAAAAAAAAAAAAAAAAGGTTTCTTGTTGCCTTCTAATTCCATTATTTTATGGAAATGGTCTATATACCACTGATTCTTTGACATTTACTAAGATCCCTTTTGTGCCTGAGAACACGATGGGTCTGTCACTGCCTGGTGGAATCTGAAAGTGCAGGGCGTTCTCCTTTCGTGAGCAGAGCGACCATGCACTTTTCTCGCTCCTGTGAAGGTTTGTCTCTGACCCAGTCAGAAAGCAGCAGGAGATTCACTGACAGGAGGGTCTCGGGTGCTTACCCCTCCCACTCAGGCTCACAGCCCTGAGGGTGCAGATGCAGGAAGTGAGATTCCTGGGACTGGAAGGCACCCCTAAGCCCCCACAAGCTGGCCGGACTCCGCAGGGAAGGGATTGGGATTTGCACCTGGCACCACCAGGTCTGCAGGGAGGTAACCCCTGTGAAAGCAATGGCAGATGCGCTTTCCCTAAAGGGGTACAAATAATGTTATGAGAAGTGTGCCCCACAGGCTGGGCAGATGAGGTGACGGGGCTAGGAAACGTGTCCTCTGTGACGAAGTGAACACGCATTGTTGACCTTGTAAGCTTGGAAGTCGGGTAACGTTTTGGATTTATTTAGAACTCATGGGATTTTGTTGTTAAGTTTATTTCTTCCACCGGAGAGAGACCGAGACGGAGAGATGAGCATTCCCATCCACCCCCGGCTGCAGCCAGCACACGTCAAGGGCATGCGTGTGCCTGGTGTACAGGGAGACCCCAGGACAGAGCCTCGCGATGCGTCCAGTCCCTGACTGCCTCGCCGCAGGACCCCTGGGTTCTAACGTCATCAGTGCATGTGCCTGATACTTCCAACCGCCGCGATGCAGCAAGGGTGCAAACGCTTTCTGGGTTTATCTCTGGATTTAGAACCCCTGCGTGCAGTGTGGTCGCTCCGTGGCTGCACACAGTGGAGGGCAGGGCTGGGGACCACAGCACACAGGAGGCTCGGGTGGTCTCCTCGCCAGGAGGCTGTGGAGGCCCTTCCCTCCAGGTGCACATGCAGAGGTGCTAACCCCGGGGTCCCCCTCTTCTCTCCCGCAGCGAGCTGAAGAAGAGGTACAACATCACGGCCACCCCCAGGCTCGTGGTTGTGAAACCAAACGGGGAGGTCATCACCCACCGAGGGCGGACGCAGATCCGGGAGCAGGGGCCCGCCTGCTTCCAGAGCTGGGTACAGGTGGCCGATGTCTTTCAGAACTTCTCCGGTTGACCTGGCAGAGATCTCGGCGCCAGGCTGGGGCCGCCCTTGTCCCATGATCCCTGAGAGACTGCTCCTTTGCCTCTTGCTGGCGGTGTCTCTCCCTTCTCTTCAGAGCAGCCGAAGCTGGGGCAGAAAGTCAGTGCTGGTCAGGAAGAAAGTCCTCTCCACGGTGGTCCTGTGGCTCCTCTGCAGCCGCTTCTTAAACGATTCTTTGCAGAGTTTCACCCACCCACATGGAGGAAGGCCCTTCGTGTGCCCACCCGAGCTTTCGGAAGTCCACGCGGGGCATTTGCCGTGTCCGCCTCACTCCTCGGGGGACCGCGTTCACCGGTACATTTTCTGGCGATCTATCTCAGCGACACGTTTCATAACTATATTTACTAGTAAAGTTGCAGACTGTGTGCTTTAGCAAACCTGCTTTCCCCCAGCAGCTCTGACTTCCTTCCAGTGGGAAGCAAACAAGTCAATAAACGCCATGCCTGAACTGTTTGTCAAAGGTGGTAGTTTTCAGTGATGTCTCATCTTGGAACTTTCTTTTTTCCTCACTTTCTTTTATGATCGTGTGTGTGTGCATGCGTGCATGTGAGAGAGAGAGGGAAGAGAGGGAGAGAGAGGGAGGGAGGGAGAGAGAGAAAGGGAGAGAGAGAGGGAGAGAGAGGGAAGAGAGAGAGAGGGGGAGGGAAGAGAGAGAGGGAGAGAGAAAGGGAGGGAGAGAAAGGGAGAGAGAGAAAGGGAGAGAGAGAAAGGGAGAGAGAGGTGGGGAGCGAGAGAGGGGGGAGAGAGAGGGAGAGGGAGGGAGGGAGAGAGAGGGAGAGAGAGAGAGGGAGAGAAAGGGAGAGAGGGGGAGATAGAGAGGGAGAGAGAGGGGGAGAGAGGGGGAGGGAGAGATAGGGGGAGAGGGAAAG